ATATATATATATATATATATATATATATATATATATATATATATATATATACAAGAAGCGATTAATCCTCGAATGATCTTTTACTGGATACAGAACTTATCATATTTGTTTTTGCGACGAAGGCGAATACACAGGTGAGAAGTGTCTCGGGTTCTGGGTTCTAGACAATGCTCACCTATTCCACGGTGGTATGGTGAATACAAGTATAGTACGATCTCATACCATACCTTTTTTGGAAACTCATTTCATTACGACATTATGGAAGCATAGGTAGTCGATGGAGATCGAGACAATGGTGGTGATCTCAAGGAAGTTGCAAAGTAAGCAAGGAGTAAGCAGAAAACTCATACCTTTCATTAAAGTAGTAAGATAAACTTGTGAGAGGCATGTCAACCTCTGTGCCTGTATACCTGATTGTATCTAGTTCCCTAGTTTTTTTTACTGGCGCACTATGACGCCTATGCTTAGCGTAGCTATAGGGTACCTAATTAAATAGTCTCGTAGCGTGAGCATATGTACGCGATTGTTATTATTTATGTATCTACCTATATATGCATATACATACATTATGCAGATAGCGACAGATGCGGCGGTCGTTGTTAATTTTATTAAGCCATAGAGTAAATACTACCAGGATGTGCTGGTTTATTGTGGATGTTTCTATCGGCGGTCGGTGCAACTGCGTACTCAAACGTGAACTATAGCTTTCGGCTGCCAGTGAACAATGGGAAACCGAAATTGATACAGTACACTTGAACGTCATCGAGAAGCGGAATTTGCCCAAAGGAGGCATAAAATTTAGTTTCTTGTTGTTTGACAGAGTTTAATAAGAATTTCCAGGCTATTCGGACTTGAGTAATATGTAAAGGACGTAAGCGCGAAAACGGTTTGAAAGAAAACGGCCATGTCGAAATATATCTCTCACGTTTTAAACTCAAACCCAATCCTTTGTAGTGGTTGGACATGTGGTTGAGTCTGATCTGTTGGAGCGGGGTATGTTGAAGCGGGCAAGAAACGCGCATGTTTTCACGTGAAACTACAAGCACTGACCAGAGGGGTGCAGCACCGTACAAAAAAAAGTGGAATACTTTTCATTTTCTGCCAAATAGTTGGAACAAATCGAGGCACGGAGTGCACTGAAAACGCACCAAATGCTTTATACAAATTCAAATTTATTAAGGTCTTTACTTGTTGCCAAGCTACGGCGTAAGCACGCAGCCGAAAGTGCTCACATATATTGTATCGGTGAACACGGAAAGTAGAGAAACGCTTCAAAAAAATTTATGCCTGCAATTTTTGTTTTAAGGATTTCCTATTTACCTGACTATAGTGTACGCACGTTTATAATGGTAGTCAAAACTGCTCACAGATAATGTAACGGTGTACACGGAAGTAACAGAAACGCATCAAATATTCTCTACGCATTCAAATATATCAAGGTCTATAGTAATCGCATGACTAGGGCGTACGTACATTAATGGTAGTTAAAGCTGAGCACATAAATTGTAATGGTGTACATGGAAAGAGCAGAAACATATCAAACGCATTCAAATATACTAAGGTTTATAGTAAGTAACTACTTGACTACAGCGTACGCAGATTAAGATAGCCAAAACTACTCGCTGATATTTCAGCATAGAAGGAACTATGCTAAAAAGAACATCACATTGATTTCATACTTGATCAAATGACTACACACTCGGACTGTTAATTTGTTGTATACGCAACAACTTATTGTGCTATTATGATCCGTAATAACTCTTTGTATACCAAATCCGTAGACTGCTGAAAAGTCAAGTCTCTTAAAAAACGATTTTCATTGACGGACTATGCAAAATAAATACACATAAATACAACATAATATGAAGTAAAAACATATGCAAGAAGTACATTCTCTAAAGAAAAGGCCTGGAGAAAAGTGTTGACTACAGTTTCTGACCAATTGGATAGGGCTACTGTGTTATCTTTTGCGATCAGCCCGAACAGAGGTTTGACTGGTGGATATATGGGAATGCTAGAAACATTACTCGATTCTATTTTTGCTTTTAGTAAAACGTACTGAAGTTGCATGCAATTGTACATTTATTCATCAGAATTTTATAGCAGTGGTAAACTTCTGGATAAATTCTGGTATCAGATCGCAAAGTTTTAGTGTTTACCAGTTTACGTACTTATTTGAGGCCAGAAATACGTACTCCTTCGCAGCCCAAATCTTTTTTTTTTGACACTTCAAGTCTTCAACGCTTCCAAAGTTAATGCACCCCACAGATGCACGTAGTCACGGACGAGCCATAGCAGCCATCCCGAGAGAGATCCACCATGCGAAGAATCCGATAATGCGTTATCCAAGACACGAAGAACATATTTACACGTATATTTCCGCCTGAGACCAACTTGGGCTTGTTCAATTGATTATTTGATATTGTATACAATACGAGTACACATACTGACAAAGGGGCACGCGTACCACACACACTAGCGAGTTGCTGCATCGCATCTTCGTTAGTCACACACCTGTAGAAAATCAAGTAAAACTTATGCGTGTCTACTTGATTTAACTGAATCAATTAAGGCACACCGCGCACATACATACATGCAGCTACGCGATCTTGTAATAAACTTTGAATGGGGCACCGTCACATTGACTAGTTGATTGTATAGAGCATGCCACCGGTAACTGAACTATCACGACAAAGTATGAAGCGAGCAGATGATGGGCTGGACGCGGACGATGAGCAACGCATCGAATCGGTAAGCGCTATAGTTTTACATATGGGTGTATTCAAACAGCAACATCATGTATACATACATATATACATACGCACACACAAAGAC